CAAGCTCACCACATTCGCGTCACGGAGGATTCTATTGAGTTCCCGATGATATTCTGTCAGCATTCGATCGATACCGTTTCAGTTGCACCACTTATTCATCTGTCATACAAAACTATTATAGCAAAATATTCAAGTGGATGTGATAGTTGGTCTAAAATAATCCGCAAGCCCAATTTCGCGTTCATTTCAGCAAGTCTGTTGAGCTCTCGAGGGCTTTATTCATGATGGATGTGGGTTTGTATTTGAGAGAGCCAATTTTGCCTTAGGTGAGCACCATCACCACTTGCTAGAAGCCGCCTTTGTACGTGAGCAACTGTCCCACTAACTGCCATCCTTATTCTAATATTACATATAAATAGTAAAACCCTCTACGGAAGGAAGCTCACGATGATCTTCGCTTTTATTTCTCCCCATTACCTGAGAATTTGTGTCACGGATGGAAGCACAAGAATTCAAAGACCTCTCTGGCATTTCGGAATTTTTTTGCCTTTTTGCAGCTTTATATAAGAATGCCCTGTATTCCAGTTTTTATTTGAATTACTCGCTTGGGCCTGTACAATGAATTCTTCTCTTTAATCATGTTCTCAGTCGTTTTGCCGTGGGTTCGCTTCCCAGTTGAAGTAATTCTTTGGCGGTTGCTCGTTAGTCAGCACACTATCCTGACATTTGCTCAACGCTCTGCTTTCTCTCGCCTCTCTCGATCTACCTCGTTGTCGCCGTTCTTTACACTTTACGCTATCCTTTTGCTATTCGGCTCACCGCGTTTTATAGTTATGACTTCTGGCATGTGGTTCCTAGTAGCAGACAGCGTTCGTTGGCACGTTGGGCCATCTGGTCGACGTCTAGTCGAAGCACTGCGCTGGCGAGTTTGTCAGAAGTTTCATTCGATATTTTTGACAATCATGTACTCCAATACTGTTTGCGTTGTCTAACCCTTGAAAGCACTAACCATAAGTCTCTAAAATCAATATTTGAACGCTCCATGACCAGAAAATAATCCAATATGCTTCAAATTTATCGAGATATTCTATGCCAGGTTGTTCCCTGAAAACCGCTGATTACCCTCGTTTTCGTGAAAGTTATTGTCGATCATCCTTTGTTTCTGTGGATGACTTGCGCTCACCGTCTTCCTTTATTCAGCTGGCTGGATAATATTTGTGGACTGGGCTGCCGTGTTTGGCATAGGACCGTGCGTTATTAGCAGATAATCCTCGCCAGTCCGCTCTTCCGACGTCGAAGCGTTCAACATATTCACATTGTGCCTCTTACTTCGTATTCGAATCACATTTCGTTCATTTTCGTGTTTCTCTAACATCAGCTCGTTCTCAGGTTTTACTAGTTATCAAACTGTTGAATTCCTCCAATTTCCTTCATTTGCATTTCTATATTTAATTTTTTATACTCAATTATATTGTCGATTTGGATTTGAAATAGTGATGTCATTTTATTCTATAATGAAAAATGCCTTTTTGAAGAAAACGATGTGGGCGAGAGGTAAGGTCGCATAGATCGCTTTCTGGCATTTGGTCTCATCGAATTTTTAGCTCGGTTTTTGTTCGGAATGGTTCGCCAGCTCTTCTTCGGTCCTCCACTTTACAGCTCTCACTTTTATTATCACATTTATTATCGCTAATAATGGTGCAGTTTATGAGGAAATAACCCGACCATGCGTCGGCTGAAAGTACGGGGAGGTGTGAATATTCAAAGGATGTAAAGCCATTTGAAAGCGAAAATTGTTCTGGAAAAAAATGTCAAAAGCAAAGAAAGGCGGTACAGAGAATAACCGTTGAGATGTGTCCAAATAAACGAAAGCACTTCGAGTCGAAGGCCTCACACAATAGAAAGTGGAGAAAATGGGGACGCGAAATGTGACCACGAATTGACAGCGGAGCACTAGCAATTTGCCGAGTTTTCTGCTTTTGTAGTGTTCACCCTATGGAAGTGAACATTTGTGCGAGGTGGGGGATGAATGGGAGAAGCAAAAGATACACTGGGGATGGAGGGGAATGTTATGTGTATGACCAGCATTTATATTGTATCGAATACATCATAGATTTGATGAAAAAAACAACTCTGAGGGAATTAGTCTCATCAGGTAGCCTAGTTGGGAGTAAATATTCAAGGCCTCGGTCTTAAAATTTAGTGGAAAAACCAAATACGCCTCCTAAGCGATCAATGAGGAGTGACGGGAGTAATATTTTGGAAACGCCTAAGAGTTTGAAAAAGGTTTCACTAAGGGCAATCCTACCGTTTGAACTACTGGCTATTACACGGACCTCACCCATCCATGCCTTTGGGACGGTGACAATTGTGCAGTGACACAGCTTCAACATTTTGAAACTCCCATTGAAACCTTCATATTTCTCAAAGCATGTCGAGAGAGAATGGGTGGGAGGGAGGTAGTAAGTGGGGAAGAATGCGGAAGAACGGGGAAAGAAAATGCTTGATGAAACGATAAAATTCTCAAAACTTCAAGACTTACTCAAATTTCGCGGAAATTTCGCGAACTTACTTTTTCAACGGTCTTGTGATCCGATTTGCTTTCGTTCTATCTAAAGAAACACGGCCTCATGTTGCCAAATGTGGGTACCTCGTTGGCAGACGGAGTGTTGGCCATATTTTTGGTTAAGCCTGAGAAGTAACCGAAGAATTGAGAATTGCCGAAGGAGGAGTAGTGGTTGTTTCTTCTCCGGACCTCACCATGTGTCCAATTCCGCTCATTCATCTGCTGCTCAAAAATATCACGCTGAAAACCGGTTATGGGGTGCCCTTTCATGTTCGTTCTCCATATGTGACACGCTATACTGTCGTTCTCAACTTTCAAATCGTGCCTGGCCTTCATGTTTTCATGCCTTGAATCCAGAGCAACACTGCGTCGTCATATTGTTTAAGTGTTGTGTTTTTGCATCATGAAAACCGTCGTGATGTGCCAACAGCTGGCAAAGCTCACAGTGAAGTGAGGCGTTCTTCCTTACCAACTTTAACACACTCTTTTCTAAATATTTTCTTCCTGTGTTCATTCATTTAAAGTGGTGGCTACAGAACAGTGGTTCCCCTTTCGATGTAATTATCAGTGTTTTGCTATCTATCAAATTAAACACTAAAAGCACTCGTTCTCGGACGTTTGCTTTGTGGGTGCGCCAACGCACTCTTCATCCCAGAATTTTTGTGGTTTTTCAAGCGCCCACAATGGTTTCGTGTTTCTGATCGATGTCAATTGAAAATCAGTGTTTTCATGGTTTCCAGATCAGAGTGATACCCACTGCTTGGAATGAACGGAGGTTGTCCTGGGTGGGAGACGAGTCGAGAGTTCGACATATGGCTGGCGGCACCTTTTGCCACTACACTACCTAGCCCAACTGCTTAATTATAAGAAAATTGTAACTCATTTTTATACTACAATTTCCATTTTTTTTTCAAGAAAGATGCAGTACTGCCGGCATTGCGTGGGCCCAATTTTGACATATACACTGGTGTGCAAAACCTGAGGACGAGAAGATGCATTAACATAACTATTTCGTAGCAGTAATAACTATTTGGTAACAGTTCTTACTATGCGTGGTGAGTTCCATAGTGCTGTGTTACGCGGCAGTATATCATGGAAAAGTTACGTTCGTCCTTAGGTTCTGTACACCAGTGTATTAATTTTAAGATGGGAGGGGCTACGTTACCCCTGCAGTAAGGCGTACTCGACGAAATTCTCCAGCTTTGTTAGTGCGAATGTTGGAAAAGGAATGAAAAGGCCCAGATTTTGCAGACGGTCTCCTGAGCTGTTGTGTAGGACGGTCACGTACATTAACACCTTGACGACAGCGCGGCAACTAGGTTTGCCGCGTTTTGCACGCCGCAATGGACATTGTGGCAACTATAGTTGCCACACCCTTTACATTCAGTTTTTTCTTGAACGCGCCATTTCTTCCCAGGTTTTTTGTGTTCATTTTTAGGCCATACCACAACATAACCAAGAACCACGCGGCTTATAGAATGACCAAATATTCTTTAGTTTGGCAGAGGTTTTTCGGACCGGACGAAAATATCCGTTCAGTTCATTCCTCATTTTCTCTTCATTAACATGAAACGTAATTTTGATTGGGCTGGTCGCGGTCACTTTTTTGGGGGCTGTGATAAAAAAGAATATTAGAAGTGAGTACAAAGCTACTCGTGTGGCAAGATATGTGTTTTTACCGAAACAACCACGTCCAAAATAATTTTGAAATCACTAAAGCAAAAGTAAGTGAAACTTGCCTTTTCAATGCTGTAACACATCATTCGACCGCACTTTCACATGTGTACCTTCCAATAAGTTTGACACACCGAATATCAGTGAAAACATTTTGTCGCATCGAAGTATTGCGTATTTAAAGCTCAAAATCCACAGATTTGTTGTGAGGCGGCGGCGCTCGCAGAACCGCTCTGGTCCCACGCGGCCAAAAATGCCAAAACGCGCGATGTCGTCAACGTGTTAAGAAGTTTTTCAATAATTCTGCAAGAAACTCAGATGCGTGGCGTTCTCACAGCGCTGGCCTCTTTTCTACTTTTTACTAAAAGGCTCTACTAGCGTAGATTGTGTCGCTTCATCTAATTTTCGATTATTATCTCATTTAAATTCCTTCTTTTTTCCGATTTCTATTTCTCTCTCATTTGCCCATGCGAGTCTCTCGTTCTTCCCTTGATGCCTTCACGCTTTGCAAAAACTAGTTCTTACTTACCGTCTGCAGTATTAGGTTGAATGAATTCATAATCACTTAAATGTATTCGACTAAGTCACGGTAGAGAAGTACGTCTAGATTCTTGCAGTAGCAGTTATTCTCTGCTGTCGTATGCTTTTTTTTGCTTCGTTCGTTTCCTGTTCCTTTGTTCAGTTGCTACGAAGTAATTCACCACATTCGTACGGTGTTATTGTCGTTCCGAGACACGTTTTCGTTGATTCACCAAGCACTTAACTGGCGAAGCGTCTTCAATTGCTCCGTTGATTATAATCGATGTTCAGGTAAGCCAAAATGGAGGAAGCGAAGAACATGGCGTTGCTGTTCTTTATGGATCATCTGATGCAAAAGAACGGCCGACGAACGATTCACGATCTGAGCTGTCAATTCGGTGCACGCGGGTCAGTATGAATGAAAATTCATGGAAATCTTATGAAAAGTTAGCTAAAAATCATTTGAGATTTATTTGAAAATCAATATTTTATTCATGTTTAATTGCCTCGGACTATAGTACCACCTTAAAGCGAATCGGGAAGCTTCTTATTTAAAACGTCGGCATTAAATATATGACCAGATGTTTGGATACGAAGTTCTACCAGGAAGGTCTTTCAGGGCGTGACAAGCTTTTTGAAAACGGTCTTTTGCATGATATAGGGGCAGATGCGGGAACCACAGAACCATGTTAATTTTTCCTGAACGGCCCTCTGAACCAGAAAAGGGGGTCCCTAGTTCGATTCCTCGTGGTGACAAATTTTTGCATTTCGAGTTGACGTTCCAAAATTCGCGCAAAATGGAGTTAGCATGAATAATTAGTACCATATTCATGATTAGGACCGTCAGTAACCCTTACAAATAGACTTTGATTGAAAAACTGGTGAAAAAGTGTGACTAGGGACCCCCTTTTCTGGTATTCAGAGGGCCGTTCAGGAAAAATTAACCATGGTTCTGTGGTTCCCGCATGTGCCCCTATATCATGCAAAAGACCGTTTTCAAAAAGCTTGGGCACGCTTGGCTTCTTAGTCAGAGCTAGGAGTGAACCCTGTGGAAAGGAATTTCGATAATGATTTGAAAAGTGAGCTCTACTTTTCTTAAAATTGGAAGTGGAGATCGACGAGAAAGCAATACTAGATATCCTTACTGCTATGGATTTCGTAGTTACTTTTCTCTTTCATTGTAGTTTTGCTTGACACGAAACGAGTAGATATCTCCAAATTTTTTGGATTCTGTTTTTATATCCATTTTGTTGCTTCATACCATAAACTTACCAGTTTTTCACAGCTAACTATATATTTGAAACTTTAACTGTTTCTTTTTTCATTTTGGCGTCGAAATTTGCTTGATCCGTTACGAAGGAATTGTTATCTTCAGTTTCTCAGAAGAGATGCGAAATGCGGTCGGCACCACCCAGGAGGGCCTTACCGAGTTTCTTCAGCAGCACCCATCCCTCTTTACCCTAGAGGGAGATCAGGTAGGGCATACTTTATCTATGTTTATTTCAGTGGACTCCTAGATAAATATGCAACAAGAACGATAGAATTCCTTTCACGTCTGATTGCGGACCATCTCATGCCATAGGTCATCTCACGAATTTTCAGAGAAAGCCAACGCGTTGCTGCTCAAATGTGAAATTGGTGGCGCGAGGTGGACCGCCATTTGAGAAAAAGGAAAGGGAATTTCGAAAGAGGCAGAAATATAGGCCTTTTTGATCTATACTATGGAAGCATCTGAGATTAAGAAATATAAATAATGAGCCTAAGGAGAGGTGTCACAGATGGCAAAAGAGCTGGCGGGTGACGAGACCTAGGGGAGCAATATCGCCACCGTTGGATCTACCAATGTTTGACGACAATTAAACTTCGCTCGCGTTCTCGGTTTACCCTTCTTCTAGAATTTCATTTCAAACATTTTCCACTCACCAACATGGCGGCGCTTGAAGAGATCTCAGCCATTGGTGTAGTTTACTGCCTTATTAGGCACCGGAGTGCAGTTTTAGAGCTGGCAGCGGTTGCGCAATGCGCTGCAGATCGGTGGTAGAGCTCAACGCCGCACTAAACGGGACACTTCTCATTGGTGGGTGCTCATGGAGCTCGGGAACCCATTACTGAGCAGAGCTCAGGGACTCTTTACCTCGTCCTTGAATTTGCAGTGAACTTATTGTTAGTGTGAACCTACGATAACCTACAGTGATTTCTGATGGTTGTCTTTCGCCTTAAACAATAATTTATTGTCCGCATATTGAGCCCAATTGATCTTCTATTCGGATTAGGGTTTGGTTGTTCCAGGTGATTCTGAATGGCTTCGGCGATATCACTGCGAAAAATAATCCGCTTTTGCAATCGGCGTCAAGAAATCGTGACTACGAGAAGGAAGCTGTGGAATTTTTCGTGATGAAGCTCACTAAATTTGGACCCGAATTACAGGTAATATAAGTGTACGACAATATTCTTCATCGTTGTGCGAAAATACGTGCAATTTACTTCTGTCATTGATGGACATCCGGAGTTTTGTTTACCTCGAGTTTGATGTGTCAACCGCTATGGTTTAAACCAGAGCTCCATGTACAAAATTTCATTTTTTTCCAATCAGAAAATCCTAGTATGCTAACAAAGAAAACTTAGAAATGCAACTACAGTAAACTTTTTGGCAAGCCCCTACATAGCACGTGAATTGTAATCCAAAACTAAACTTCCAGGTCCAAATGATGGACGTTTCATGAATTCTCCCGATAGTTGACTTCTAAAATGTGCACTGTTTGATTGGTACATTGCTGAATCGTTGAGACTAATCGCCAGTCCTGTTTCAGATCAAATCGTTGCTGGGACATCGTTCTCAGGCCGCTCCAGAGGTCCGATTAGTCTCCGGTCGTCATCTGAAGGAATTCTGCGAGTTCCTGCAGTCGCAAACGGAGCATTTTGTTGTAGAAGGCGATCGTGTACGCCTGAAGGTGGTGATTTCCTCCTCCTTAAAATGAAATTGTTATACAAATATGGCTCCGCTATCCGTGGAAACTAAGAGAAGGATGGGCCCCGGGAAATTATTGGGTCGCTGCCTGCTGGGGAATTTCTCGAAACCATCACAGCTCTTCTTAATTAGATTTTCCAAACCTTTTGAACGTTTGAGGCGAACATGCTGTCAGCGCATGGGTACAAGTCTAGGTTTGGTGCAACTTCAACATAGTGATGAGACGGTATGATATGATGAAGAAAGGAGTAATTGCTGCCGGACAATCTTTTCGAGATAAGCCACGCCCTTAAATTCCATTTAAAGTCCCAGTAGGATTTAATGCGACATACCCACTACAAGGATTCAGCCGTCGGGCGATCATCTTACTTTTTCTTCCCAGACCAAGGCAGATACTGAGTAACCAGCCTGGTGGGATTGAAGTTTTGGTGGGCCTGTGCGGTGTACGATCTGAAATCCGAACCCTGCGTGAGAGTAGGTGGCACCCTTTGCGACCACATCACCTCTACCCTTGCTGTAGCCGACGTCCCAAGAACTTTACTCCATCAATGGAAGATTGTATTTTTTTCAGAACATGCCGGAACCGGACGATAATGCCATCGAATTGGATGACGAGGGCAAACCACTGGCAGGTGTGAAGGCAAAGCAAGCGGCTGTAGAATACTTGAAGAGCGTATTAGAGCAAGTAAGATATAATACTTCACATTTATAATACCTATTTTGAACCTATGAACGTGGTTTCTGAGAAGGAACAGTAATGTCTGTTCTGCATGCTGTCGGAGCTTCCCTGCGAGCGCGCGTGTTCGCAGGTTGACTTCTATGCCATACATAGACACTTTTTCGAAGAGGATATCAACGTTGAAGCATGGAGCCTTACCGTTAAGCATCACTGATAGTGTGCGCGGATGTTGGAAGCATCAGAAAAGTGTAGAAAATAGTTATCATGGTGAAAGGTTTACGAGTGACCTAAATGTGCTCTCCTTTGTTCAGAATGAAGACCAACCGATTCCACTGGATATGTTCTATCAGCGGTTCTGCCAGCGATTCTCACATTCAATTCGACAAGATGTTGCAACAAATCCGAAGGAGCTGCTGCAGTTTCTCAAGCTCAACCGCGGATTGTTTTTCATTAGGAGTAACAAGGTAAGTAGTTGAATTGGATTAGTTTTCGGAGATTGTCCGTGATCCCTTTTTGATGGTGAGAAAAATATTCGAGAACACCAATTTTAGGTGACGTTGGTGAAAAATCGTCCATCGGAGGATGGCAGTGAGAATGGCTCGGATGAAGGTGATCTAGAAAGCAACAACAACAGCGTGTTCCCGCTGGACCAAAACGCTCTGGCACGGATTCACTTTGTGAAAGCATTGAAACCCGCTCAGGTGAGGCATCTTCACAGCAGTTCCGGGATTGTTGTTTTATAGCTAGATGAACCATCAGAACATGTCTAGACGGTTTTAAACTACTGCTTTTCTGGTACGTTTGGGTCTGGCGAAAAATAAAATTGAATATTGGCTTCAAGGCATTCCGTGCTCCGTGGTTTTCCCATCGAAGGGGAGGTATTTTGCTATTCTAGGGAAGGGTCATATTTGGAAAAGGGGTATCCAACTTCCAAATGTTATTCGGATCAGCATGAGGCTCTGGGATGGGAATCGAGCATAACAGAAGAGCATTGCGGTCGCTGATTTTCAGCTCATTTTTTGGTTTGGTTAGCGCCAATCTGGTTCAATATTGTGTCATCTCCATTATGATCCAGAGAATTTTATTCTTTTTATGTCCTTAGGAGCTCGTGGAGCGACTTCTACAGGACATTCACAACCAAGAACGCAAAGTAGTTGGACTCGACTTCAAAACGGTCACTGTGGGCATCGATGGCGAGCTCTTCCTCTCCCTATGTAGGGGTGTTTGATGTAAAAAAAAGCTTTCAATTTCTTCAGAAAACAAAGTCCTCCTTTATTAAGTTACTCACGATGGTTTTTCAGGAAATCGGCGACTCCGTTTAATTTTTATAAATCAGAGTAAAAAATCAGTCCAAGCTGCTCTGCAAGATTTGTTCTTTGAGTCAATTAACCCTTTCGGACCTGAATTTTTCCCCGTGGAGAAATTTTTCTTCTAGCTATTGTTTATTACTTGTGAGCATATAGGTATCATTATGGCGAAATTTGGAAGCTATTCGATCACAAACAAAGAAACTAAGAAGCTTTGAAAATTGGCCCACCTCTTAGTTTTTGAGCTTATGTCGAAACAATTCCAAATTTCATAGTTATGCCGAAAAAGTTTATAATCTTGCACAACATTATAACCCATAATTTGGATTAAAGGATGGACTTACTTCAAGTATTTTAAGGAAAAAGTGACACACTTACTTGGCCGGTTGCGGGGGTCAGCGTCGATTCATTGTTGCACTTGTACACAAATACTTGTAATACTAACAGCAACACACAATGAAATGGCAGGTTTAGCTCATAATTAGGAAGGGGAAGGTTGACTGAAGCAACCTCTAGCAGGATTAGAAAAACCATGCTGTTTCAGCGGCAATGCAAGCGTTTGAATTTGGTGGTGGCAATTGCCACCGCCAGGGCCGAAAGGGTTAAACTTGACCAAAAATCTGTTGCTGCATTTTGACTATGATTAGTTCCTCTTTTTGATACTGCTATTTCCGGGCTCGTTTTGGTCGCGATGCACAGTGTATACCTTTCATACTGCGCAAGTGGTCGCTTGCTACTTTTTATGGTGAGACTTCAAGGACTACTGCAGCATCTCCTGATGTACCCCCTCCTCTCCCCTAATTCGAACCGCCGACATTTTTATCATCATCTTTGCTTTAATACCATTCTAAAAGTCATATGTACTGGCGATGCAATTTTCAAAAGTTGTTCACTTTGTAAGAAATGGCTCAGAGAAAGAAAAAATGAAGTGGCTTATTGCGCGACATAAATAACATATGCAAACAGAATTCTAAAATGTTCAAAAATGTGTTGTGCCAACGCTGAACGTTTAGGTGTGGTTGCCACTCAGTCACAGATTGGTGTGTTCGATCTTGCCTCAAGTGATGTCATCATCATGGAAAGCGGTCTAAGGGACATACTTGAGAGCGACAAGATCACCAAGGTGGGGCTTCAATTTCTTCGCAGAACTCCATGTGTTCTCTCGCAGGCGTGGTCATAAGATCACCAATTTCACTCTGATTAAAAGCCGTCTCAAAGCGAAAGATTACGATAAAGTGTGTGTGCGGAAAGGGAGTACATGTACAAGTGGTAGCAGAAAATAGGAGCCTAAGGAAGCGAGAGCTGGTCTTTCCGAGACCAATGGGGCGCTAGCTGCAGCTCTTCGGGGCTGCCAATCCTTTCGAGTTCGGCCACGCTGTGCCCCCACCAGTTTGTTGCCGGTCGTATCTCACTTCGAGCACGTTCCTAAACTTTTCATGAAATCTGGCCATGTCCTTATTTCGCGTTTTTGACAGATTTTTTTTCCTTTTTTCGCCAGTGGGGCATTTTTCAGCATCCCCGCGTTCACCATTACCTCAACCCAATCTTATCGTAATCCCTCGCTTTAATCAGAGTGAAACGCATTCCAGAATTTTCAAAGACTCTGTATAAAAGAAACCTTGCCAGGAGAACGTATCAGACCTCATAGGAGTGCTCCTAAGAACAAAGAACTACCAAGTTAATTGCAGGTGATTCACGACGCCAGACGTGTCGGATCTCTGTTAGCACACAAGTACGCTGTACATATGGTTAACGTTTTTGATACCCAAGTAAGTTTCTTCAAAGTAATGCATTGGACTCAGCAGACGGAACATTAAAGTCTGCTTATTCAGGTTGCGCATTCCGTTCTGCAGCACGAAAAGTTCGGCAAGCCGCTTCATGATCTTCGTTCCATATCCTTTGTTAATCTTCAGCGCGTATACTATCCAGCAATCAATTATGCTTAGTGACGTGACCCCACGGAAGCTCAGTCAGTCACCTAAGTAAGTTAATGCAAAGGATGCCTTTGTTTTGCTTTTGAGTGGAAATTCTCGGTCTAACTGTCGACAGCGTATCTGCTGTGGTGCTCGCACGCATACTCAGAAAGAGGTAATGGTAGTAGAACATGCTAAGATAGTGAAATGCTTCATGCAAAGGAAAAGCTATAAACGCTGTTCCACAAAAGGTTAGAATGAGTTGTTGTTAAACTGCAAAAATGTATGCGTGGAAGTAGTGCTGTGTGGGCCGCCATGTGAGGAAAAATGAAGAGAAACTTTTAAAATTGCGAAAATACAGATATCATCGATCCATGATGCAGAGCAGTATAAGGAATTAAGCAAGATGAGAGATTTAGGCGCCGAGGAGAGAAATTTGCATGAGACGGGAGAGCATGCTCATCGACGAGGCGCTGAGATGATTCCATACTGCCGTAGTAGGCGGACGATCAGCGTTTGGCCCTTAAAGGCACGAGTCGGGATTGGATTGATGCGTTCTTTTGTTCAACATTAGGCAAGGGGTGCAATGAGGAACATTAGTGAGGAGAAAAAGCAAAAAGCACCATAGAAAACACTAAATTTCCCTAGTATGATGGAGACACAGCGCTGCGAGGAGAGGGAGAACGCGAGATAGTACGTCGTACGCGAGAGGACGCAGAGACCACGTATGCCGTGGTGGATTACGCTGGCAGCGCGGGCAGCGCGGCGGGCAAGGCCTTAGCGCCATTGCCGCGCACTTTTGGGTCGCGATAGTGTCGCGCCCTCAGTGCTTGGGGAGCCCACTATCGCACCCTGGGAAGAACTTCTGCTGGTTGCCTAATCCTGACTCGTGGCTTTAATTATGTGGCTGCTAGGTGCGCGGCCTCGCTTCCCATAGGTCCCACAGGCCTTTTCTGCACTTTTTAGCATGATTCGCACATTTGCTCCACCTAATCTGGGTTTGTGCTTTTCAGCGTGTCACCCTCCGAAGACGAAGATTCTTCATCTTGAGGGGGTTGTTGGCGACGATTTGTTCCTTATGCCAATGATTCGAGTTTGATTTAGCATTGTATCCATGAAGCATCCAATGGCCATTCTTTTCAGAAATCATCCAAATTTCGTACAAAATTACCGTGAAACTCCACAAAACTTGCGGGAAAATCTAGATCCTCTGACTTCCCCTTATAACACTATCTTATCGTGAGACTAATAGCACCCAGCGAAAGCACAGGTGTATCAAGCGCTCGACGGCGCGCTCCCTTTTGGGCCCAAAGCCCCTTGTGCAGCGCATTGGGCATTATCATCCGAGCGCGAATGGGCCACGGCACACGGTGCACCCAGGGGTAACCGTCACATCCGCGACGCTATCCTCGTAATTTACTCTATTTCAAAGCAGGCTAGTGGTTACAAGCAAACAGACAGACAGACACACCAAACTGCTGCTTTATATATAGAGAAAATTCGGCTTCTACTTACACTTTTGGGGACTTGTTTTTTGTTGGATTTCGTAATCCAAAAATCCTTCACTGAAAAGTACTTGTACATGTGAAAGGTCATTTTGATGGGATGTTTGCTGCAAAATATTGATTATTTCAGTTGGGGAGTTCGCCCAATGAGTGACGAGCTGCTGTTGTCCTCTGTTGAAGAAGCACATTGTCTTTTATCTGCACTTCACCAAACACTCTCAAATCTCATCCCAGTTCATTTGCGAGGCCTTTTCGAAGACAAGTGCATTGAGGTATGCCGGAATTTTCATCGAGTTCCACAGGCTTCACCTTAACAGCAGTATTTTACAGGTGCTCTTAGCAAGTCCTACTCGCCCACCGCCCCTCTCGTTCAACCCCGGAAGTCCCTACCGCATTTCTACGCGTGGTGGCGGCCGTGCTCAACCCGTCTCGTACGCGCAATCCGGATACGGAGATCGTGCTGCGCCTGTAGCATACGTTCCTCCAAACTCAGCTCGCCGTATGGCCGACGCTTGTACGCAGACTTTCTCAACGGGCGATATTCAAGTGCTCAACGTTTTCTACGAGTGATATTGTTGTAGTCCGATGTCAGTTCGTGCTTCCACAAGCCCTTTTTGACAGTCATTGTAACAGTCGTGTGAGTCACGAAAAATCAAGAATTCTTGTATAAGTTTGAAGTAAAACTCACTGAAATTGTTTGTTAAACGCTTTTTGTTCATTTTCTATGATTGAAATCACGGTTTTTCCATGAAATAGTTTGTCTATCAATTAGGGAACTTTTTCTATGTTCTACAACCTTTTTAGTGATTGGTATCATAGGCCTGTTTGCTAAGTATGCTATGGAATACATAGAGAATTTCTATTATTAACCTACTCTGATCCTTGTCAATTCAGATGCAGATGTGGCTTCATTCAGTCATAACAACCAAAACATGGCTCAGTGCAAAATCTATGCTTTTCATATCCATCCTGTTTTATCGAAGTCACTCTGTCGTTGTACAGAAATGGGAGAGCTTAAACCTTGTGATTGTTCCGGCCTTATAAATGATCATTTTTTTCGTTTTGTTGTAATTCGGATGCATTCGATGGGGTGTCCCCCAACAGGCCCACCGCGCGGCGAAGCAAGAGACGCAGACGCGGCAAAGGGACGAGTCGCAGCGCATACTGTAGCGGTTAGGCGTCAGGTTAAAGAGAGTGTACCATACTACGTCTCAGCACGCGCTGCAACTCGTCTCTTTGCCGCATCTGCGTCTCTTGCTTCGCCGCGCGATGGGCCTGTTGGGGGACACCCCATTCGATGTAACAATCGCTAGCGCCAGCCGAAGATATTTTTAACGATAACTGATGAATTGATGGGCCGGGCTTATTACTGCAAACAGACGGAACGATCTACATTTTTTCCATAAAATTTGGACTTGTCAAATACATGGGCATCATCTGTCCCACCCGCCATCCCGTCGTTCATCCATTTTTTGGAACGGGCGCCGGCAACGTCTCCATTCGTCCCTCTTGTATACCGGAGTACTCATTTGAATTTACTTCGCTGGAGGGTATGCAGCGTTTTATGTCCTCCGTACATATCTGAGCATTGGACTGATGGCCATCTTTGTATTTTTACGACGTTCAAGAGATTGATCGATGACTGCTCCAGCACAAAAGTCATCGCAAAACTACGCTTTCTCCATCTACTTGATCTTCATTTTCTTGACAAAAGCGTCACTGATCTTCTTTATCGTTAAAGGAGTTCGCCCTACGTAAAGGAGTGACTGCGCCTTAGTCGGGCCCCAGCCCTGGCACCCCCTAAAAACAACTACATATTAAATAACTCACGTTTATTGGCGATTACTGGCGGCAATAATTCGACGTCCTACACCATCACCATCTGCCAGGCTTGGAGATGCCAAACCATCGCGCCGTCGTCCCAGTAGTTCGTCGTCCATCGTGGGGAACACTGCCGGCTACCCAAGGCAGCCTGCAGCCGACAGCGTCCATCGGGCATAGCGGACGCTAACGTACCAGCGCTCCGACAGGACGGGACAGTATGCCGGACCATACTGCCGAGTGCCAGTGGCACTCCGAGCCGTCCAGCTTCCTCGCGTTGCCCGGCACAACGCTCCTCCCGGAGGGAGCGAAGTGCGCCGACTGGCAGAGGCGGCTCGCTTAAGTAGTCCCGGCTGGAGGCGGGACCGGAGGCGGAGCATGCCCCTGGAGTCGGTGCATGCACGCGGTCAAGGAAGCGCGGCAGAGTCCAAGCGCCGGGACCACAGTCGCGTACCGCTACAATTGTAAAATGTATGAAAACCTGGTCAATGATTTCTTCACAGCACTTCTGTCGTGGTATTTCGCAGCGATTATGGCTGAGAAAATCGACTTTGACTGAAAGCATATTTGGCTACTCTTGATTCTGAAACCCAGAAAACGCGTCAGTGGAAGGATGCGGCAAGAACCCTACGTCTTGCGAGGGATCTCCAGAGTGTCTTTTACGACATAGTAAAAATTTGTTGCCGATGTCTGGAGACTTGAGTTACACTGAGTGACGGGCGCTTTAAGCTACTGAAGAATGGCTATTGCGCTCTGATAAGCTATGGACTTTTAGTCCATAAGCGGTCTGTGGAGCAATGCACCGTGGCTGAAACAGCGTTTCCATAGTTATCAGAACGCAATAGCCGTTCTTCAGTAGCTTCTCAAAAAGCAGTGAAATTGTAGCAAAAGGAGATTTCGTGATTTGGGTGACAACCGCCCTCAGAAGCCTTGCATTGATATTTTGATTTACCGTCTGTATCGCGCTTGACCCGACTACTTTGTTGGTGGTAGCAAGGAGTGGGTTCCTCAAGTAAACCACACCGCGAGCGCCACTGACGAGACGATAGAACCAGAGATTCTCGACGTCCACTTCAGCACTGCAACTTGAGAGGCAACTTTCAGAGTTGGTAAAGCTGCAAGCGATCCGTTTGCCGACAGCTCCTACCAACGAACTTCACTGCTGTTGTAGTTCGATAATGTGGGCAAGCGGATGGGTCTCCTGCACTATGCTAGAAAACATTACAAAGTTCACTTCATCCAGCAACGACCGTCAAGGAATTTGAAGAAGGTTCAACGTGCAGTTATTCTATGAAAACGACCGTCAAGCATATTGAAGATCGTCCTAGAAGTATCCAAGCCCCTTGAGGAAGTTCTATCTGTCAAATTGTGTTCAGCAGATCCGTCCCAACAGAATATCGATTCCGGTTCTGTTGATTCAAAAAAAAGTGGGAGAGCTTTATATGCGGGCTCTTCAGATTTTCATCGAAGCTTTATGGGATTTCTCTAGCTGGCAAACGCACCCCTGTCACCTGCGCTGATAGCATAGATGCTAGCGGATGTGTGGTGTAGGTTCATACTAAGGATAATTCGTGTCTTGCTGTGCTATACAGATGGAAGGCTGAATAAAGGACGATTGGCCATAACTTAGAGAACACCCTACATTACTATCTGAACAGTAGCTTGCATTGCATAGTAGAAATTGAACCAGAACCTTCAGCAAAGCCAACCATCAGCAACGTTGTTCTCACCTTCAGCAAAGCTGCAGCGGTGAGAACAACGTTGCTGATGGTTGCAATTTCTCTCATCTCCGCGCACGTGTTGACGTACCCTCTAAAATGTATTTTCAATGACTATCTGTCCTGACATTCACATTGGCACGATAATGTTACTTCACGATCGCCTTCAGCTTGTCTCTGGGGACTATAGTAGAAATGAATGAAAAAAACTGTAATTAAATTTGACAGTTCTGTCCAGAGTAGTGGCTTGGTTTTTATTTTTTTTGAACAGTATATCGGACAAAACTTCGAATCACTTTCTCACCTTGTATCTGAGCGCACTCTGAAGAGCGTCAGTTCGCGGGGCACGAGTTTCAAAAACATACGGCGGACATAGTATGGCAATGTTAACGACTACTCGATGTGCGGAAATGAGTGCGATTCGAGCAATCATTATTACCTTGACCCGGTATATAGTCTCTATTTTCACTTGCCTACGTTCGTAAAGTTACGCAAAAGAATGTCAGATCGCTCAAAAATTGTTTTAAGCCCAGACTATATACTCTAATCTCTGAGGCGCGGCGCGCGCGAACGCGACGAGAGTCTGGCCCGCAACCGTTGAACGCATCAGTGCCTCGACTTGATGTGCCAAGTTCGCGGGCACTTATCAACTCATGGCCGCCGTTACGCCGCCGCGCCTAATGCGGTGGTATTGTTGGGGCCAATGTTTTACCAGATTGTACTCGAGGGAAGGCAGTGTTATCTAACCAATGAGTCTGCTCGCACATTTAAGTTTTTCGCACCTTCACTAAGTACTGTTCCACAAACTAACACTTATGACATCGTTCGAAGCTAAGAACAATGGAAACAAGTCACTAGTGATCTGAAATATATGCATAACTATAATCTGATTGTATCGATTCGAAGCAGATCAAAGAAGTATTGGGTTGGAAAGAAAGTCCTGCAACACTTTTTCAAATTTTTGCTTTTAACTGTATCTTTTCTGTTCAGCCCTGACCGGTGGTATACCAACAATGAGTGTTCACCACTTGTATTCAACGCTCAGAAAATTTCTTGATGCGCTATTGCCAAAACCGAGCAGAGTGTGAGTCGAGAAAGTAGGCAACCTCACTTCAAGTTGGAGTTGATCGGCTAGTGATTTCAACATCAAGATGATTTAAGGTTCGAATAGGTAGCGATCAGGGTGAAAATCGTGTCGAGTACGTGGTCGCAGAAGTACGACCCCCCCCCGAAATCGAGATCCTGGCACGACCCCCCAAAACAGAGCAAATTAATTCAATTAATTAATCAAAAATCCTGCAAAATAAATCAAAAAAAATCTGCAAATAATGTTATGGACGCCTCATCTTGTCATCTGTGCACTGTCTTTCATCGCTGCACACTTTTGAAGTACTAGTATTTACTGAAATATCGACTCGAGGAAACAGGCCTTAACATTGTGTTGACTCAAAGTCGGGTTCGTTCAAAATGCACAGAAATCCTGAAGGCACGGGGTTGCGATTTAATCTTATTTCCTGCTTGAGTATATCGAAACAGCCGAGTGTATCAATCAACGGCCGATTCAACGGCAGCTGCGGCGCGATTGTCACTGGGTCAGATTTGCTGAAATCCCGAAAAAAACCGTCGAAATCTACACCCTCGATGAAAAGGTTGCATTCTTCCATTTCATAACCTTTGAAGCAGTTTGAGGTAGGGTTAGATAGAGCTGGGATTTGCGTTTCCAAGAAATATTGAAATTGCTCTGGAAAGCCTTCTATGCAGAAAGATTGGGTCACTCAAATTTCGTCGAGAAAACGTGGACGCTGAAATTTCCACGCGCAAGCTTTTCCCTTCAAGAACAATATCTTTCCTAGAACACGAGATGACTGAAAGTGAAGATAGTTTTGGAAAGCGGAAGGTTTGCGCTTTCTGATGGTCTTCTTAGCTTTCTTCTACATTTCCTAGTTGAGAAGATATCTGCGTCGAGTATGTAACGAGGACGGATCCGGGCCACCTGAAAATCCGCTCCCTCCTTCACCATTGCAAGTGTAA